AGAGTATGAAGTATCCTCTGTAGGGGATTTAGTAGTCATAAATTCCTTAAATTTGTGTTTATTGTGGAAAAATTTTCCTTCCTTCCTCAATCTCAACTGATAGTTTTTATGGCCATTGTAGTCTCAGCTGGCCTTTGTGGTCTTCCATGGCTTACAGAACATTGGTTTGGTATTCTTCTAGCATTCATAGTCTCCACTGAAAAATCTGTTCTTATGCTCATGGGTCTGCTTTTGAATTTAACTTGATCTTTCTTCCTTGTCTCTTTCAGTATCTTTTCTTTGTGTTGTACATTTAGTGTTTTGACTGTTATAAGATGCAAGGAGTTTCTTTTCTGGTCTTGTGTATTTTATGTCTTGTACACCTCTTAGACTTTCATAGGTATCCTCCTTAGATTAGGAAAGTTTTCTATGATTTTATTGAAAATATTTAATGTTTCTTTGACCCATGTATCTTCTCCTTCTATACCTATTATTTGTAGTTATGGTCATTTAAAAAAAATAGTGTTCCAGAGTTCCTGTGTACTCCATTATTGGAATTTTTTTTTCATTTGATATATTTTTGAGTCACTCAGTTTCTCTTCAAGACCTGATATTTTCCCTCCACTTGATCCAATATGTTGGTGAGTCTTTCCTTTTTCCTCTGCATTTTTTTGTTTGAATTCTTGAATTTTTCATTTCAAGTTTTATTTTTCTTTAGAGAGTCTCCTTATTAAATTCCATTTTAATATATTGAGTTGTTTCATTTAACTTTTTATTTGTGTTTTTCTTTGTTTTCATTCCAACATTTACTCATATACTCTGAGTTCTTTGATCATTGCTGTTCAGAAACCATTGCTCTGGATTTCATCTAAGACAATTCTCTTGGTGGACAATCCCACAAGAGTATTGATTTTGGCAAGGATGTATTGTTTTGATTATTCATGAATGTGTATTTGTGATTGGATCTATGGATATGAGACTTAGGTAGGTTTCTTTTCTTTTTCTTAATTCTTTTTTATTTATTTTAAATATTTTTATTTTATAATTTATTTAGTTTTACATACCAACCACAGATTCCCCTGTCCTCCCCCCTCCCTCTCCCCAGCCTTCTCCCCAAATCCACCCTCCATTCCCACCTCCTCCAAGGCAAGGTCTCCCCTGGGGAGTCAGCCCAGCCTGGTGGATTCAGTTGAGGCAGGTCCAGAGCCCTTCTACCTACACCAAGGCTGAGCAAAGTGTCTCAGCATAGGCCCTAGGTTCCAAAAAGCCAGCTCATGCATCAAGGACAGGTCCTGGTTCCACTGCCTGGGGGCCTCCTAAACAGTTCAAGCTAATCAACTGTCTCACTTATCCAGAGGGCTTGGTCCAGTTCCTTGGGGGCTTCTCAGCTATAGGCTGGAGAGATGGCTCAGCAGTTAAGAACACTGCCAGGTAGGTTTCTTGGTATGAAAATCTTGTCTCTCATTATATGCCTGTGCACCACGTTAAGTGCAGTGTCAATGGAGGACAGAAGGGGGCATGAGATTCCATGGAATTGGAATTACAGGTAATTGTGAGCTGGGAATTGAGCTCAGGTCTTCTGAAAGAGCATCCAGTGCTCTTAACCTCTGAGCCACCTCCCCAGCACTTCTTCAGAGGTGTTCTGGGGAGGCCTTCCAGAGTATAATGCTCTTGAAGTTTATTAGTTCTTTCTTTATTTCCAAAACCATTAATCTTCTATTTAACCTTTCAGATATCTACTGTAGATTATATGGTCTGAATTTTCTTTTCCATGTTTCCAACTTCATTGTTTAAATTCTTATTATGCTTTCTTTGGTTGCTAGAAATGTACTTACTAGGACCTGGGATAAAGATATTCTGTACAAAAATTGTTGCTTGTGCAAATAAATACTCAAGAAGTCAGGGTGGTGAGGAAATGAATTTTCGGAGAGATTCTAGTTTAAGTTTACCTTCACAAATCAGACTTTCACCCAACCTGTGATCAAGTTAATAAGAATATGCGTTGAGACCACTTATGCACTCATTCTGCCAACACACTATGTACTCAATATGTTCAGAATTCATTGACCTTAAAGAAAAACAATGTTATCACTCTTACTATGCTTTAGCGTCCCTCCACGTACCATGTGCCCTATTTTTCCTTTGTTACTCATTCATGCCCCTGACTCAGACAATGTGTACACAAGATGTGGTGTCTAGACCTGAAACTGAAAACAGCAAGGCACTGAAAACAAGAAAAACGTTGAATTCATCCTGTGGATATAGACTGATAACATTGAATTCTGGCTTTGTGGCTTTTCTGAGTCAATAGAACCCAAGCCCAATTTTCTCCCTTGTAAAAGATTATGACAAAATTTCCTCATTCTTTTTGATGACATAATCATTGTGCCATTCAATATATAAGATAGCTTTTATTTAAGAGACCAGATCAGAGATCAGAGCTCTTCTAAACAAGTCACGGCCACTCTTGGGTAAGTGACACCAAGGGCCAGTTTCTTTGTCACATCAAGAGGAAAGGAAACTCAGACTGCACAGCACACAGTAGTACATTCAGTTGAATGTAATCCCATCATGACCCTCTGAGAATAAGTTTGGGGACATGTCTCCAAATCCTTCTTTTGAAGAAAGAGTGTGCAAGTCCTGGCTCCCTTCACAGTTCATTACCTTATCCTATTTTTGTATCTTTAAGAAGTTTGTGAGTCATATATGTAGAACCCTGTTTTCCCTTTGTTTTTTATCCTTTTCCATGGACGTGAGAAGCGTTGGTTGGCTGGGTCACACTGCCTCCCATCCCTGATAGCAGAAACACCTGCTATTTTTACCACCTCCATTATCATCCTATCACATATTTTTTTCAATTTGAGTTTTTGTGCTTTCTTTCTCTTTTTTTTTTTTAAAGCAGTCAGTACTTTTTTTTTTTTTTTTTTTAAAGATTTTATTTATTTATGTATACAGAAGAGGGCGCCAGATCTCATTACAGATGGTTGTGAGCCACCATGTGGTTGCTGGGAATTGAACTCAGGACCTCTGGAAGAGCAGTCGGTGCTCTTAACCTCTGAGCCATCTCTCCAGCCCGCTTTCTTTCTCTTTTCTTGATCAATTACACCAAAAGTTTAAAGAGTAGTAATATTTTTGTGTATGGGAAACACATACTTTATTTAGAATGCTGAGAAGTTTTTATTTTTATCTCTCCCTTTTATTAGAAATAGATTCTTTTCTGACACAATATATCCTGGTAACGTTTTCCCCTCCCTCTGCTCCTCTCAGCTCCTCACCACTTCCCCTTCCATTTGGATCTACTCCCTTTTTGTCTCTCATTAGAAAAGAAAAGGCTTCTAAGAGATAATAATAAAATATAACAAAATAAAGTGCAAGATAGAACAAAAACTATCACTTTGAAATTGGACAAGGCAAACCGAAAGAAGGAAAAGAGCCCAAAAGAAGGCAAAAGAACCAGAGACCCACTCATTCACACACTCAGAAATGCCATAAAAACTCTAATCTGGAAGACAAAATATATACACAGAGGTCCTGGTGCAGACTCTGCAGGTCTTATGCATGCTGCTGTCTCTGTGAGTTCATGTGGGGTTTGCTCATGGTTTTGTGTGTGTGTGTGTGTGTGTGTGTGTGTGTGTGTGTGTGTGTGTGTGTCCATCCTTCATCCCCTCTGACTCTGACACTCTTTCTACCTGCTCTTTCACAAAGTTTCCTGAGCCCATAGTGTAGGGATTTTATGGAGACATCCTATTTAGGGCTGAGTGTTTTAAGGTCTCTCTCTCTGTGTAATGAATGGCTGCAAATCTCTATATTTGTTTGAAGAGTTGCTCTAATTAATCTTACCAATAGAAAAATTGGGAGTCAGATATCTGAGTAAAGACCTGAAGGATCAGGGAAGCAGGGGAGCAGCTACAGTCACTTCCTACCTCTCCCGTTCGTTCCTCCATCCCAAAAGGCCAAGATCCTCTCTCAGCTCCACCTTACCACTTCCTGTTTCCTCTCTGTCTACAGTCCTCCAAACCTCTATGGTTAATTTTGATCAGCTAGTGGCTGGCTCCACCCTCTGACTCCAAACAAGCTTTATTTGTCAGAACACAATCAAAATATCACACACCATTTTCCTCTTTTTGTCTAAATAAAAAGGGAAGGTTTTAACTAACATAGAAAAACTATATACAATAAGTACAATAACTATATACAAATATATACAGGCAAGAATTAGATTAACAGTGTCCAGTCAATTTGCATTTAACAAATTCAGAGAAAATACTCCATTATCTATCCTAATTTAGTGAGTCCAAAGTTTTGTACCTAATTCACTTTCTGTCCTAACTTGTATTACCAACCGAATACTATCTTTTGATGTCTCCCAACCTTATACACTTTAGACGTCTTTGTCAGACGGGAGAGGGAGGAAGCCAATGTGGCTGCCCCCCTGCCTCTCTGACCTTTCAGGTTTTTACCCCGATATCTGACTCCCAATTTTTTATTGATAAGATTAATTAGATTAATGCTTCATTTGTTCCTATCTGCTGCAGAAGGAAGCTTCTCTGATTGTGGCTGAATAAGGCACTGATCTTTGAGTATAGCAGAATATAATTAGGAGTAAAAAACTTACTAATATTTTAAAAGATAAATTATTTTGTCACTTTTTCCTTCTTAAATTGTGGCTTCAGGAACAGAAAAAAAATTAATTGTTTCGGATATAGAAAAATTGATAAGGTTTCATTCTCCATCCTTGTTTTTTGAGACAGGGTTTCAGTATTTAGTCAAGGCTGGCCTCTTTTTTTTTTTTTTTTGGTTTTTCGAGACAGGGTTTCTCTGTGTAGCTTTGTGCCTTTTCCTGGAACTCACTTTGTAGCCCAGGCTGGCCTCGAACTCACAGAGATCCGCCTGCCTCTGCCTCCCGAGTGCTGGGATTAAAGGCGTGCGCCACCACCGCCCGGCAAGGCTGGCCTCTTATTCATGGCAATTCTCCTGCTTCAGGCTCCTTTGTGCTAGGATTATAGGCATGGCCACCGTGGTGCCCTGTCTTGTGTTCCTGGGATACTGGATGTGCTGTAAAGTTTAATGATTTGCTTTTCTATTAACAACATAATCAATACTAAGTGGTTAAGTCCGATTTGGGTTGGAATTGTGGCTTATTTTCTAACTTGCTCTCTGGCCTTGAATAAGTTACCTAACCTATCTGAAAATCAATTTCCCATTTCCTGTGAGACTTATCCTGGGAAAAGAAAACCCTGTAAAGTCCCCTGCTTGGCACATGGTAAGTGTTCAACAAATGCTATGTTTTAGCATGTTCTGCATCCATTGAATATTTCCCCACTTAACTAAAACGTCATTGAAATGCCTATCACCTATTATTGGTCTTAAGTCCAAAGGTAGAAGAACTTGATGTTTAAAATGGCCATGGCCATGGACTGAACATGACATGAAAAAACAAACATTTGGATGAACACCAAGAAAGCCAGAGTTGGCTGAAATGCTGGCAGTTTGACAAGAATAATTTGGATTGCTTAATGGTGCACAAAGGTAACGAGGAAGCTTCTCTTTACATGTGTAGTGTGTTCATCCTCAAGTTCTCTTGAGGCTTCCAGGAATCAAGAAAATTATATATTTTATAAAGTATATGTGCATGTTCCTCACTCCAACACATTGCTGATTTCTAGAAGAGAAAGGAAATGACTTTTCCAGAGTGAGTTGATTTTTCTTTCATGTACTGAGCCAGTTCTTACCTGATACTTTATGGACCAGTGAAAGTGCACTAGGTATTTAAACAGTCATCTGCAAGAAGCAGAGACAGTTTTCTGGGGCTCTTGGTCCCTATCAGACTTGAGTAGCTTTCTTTGAAGAAGCCTGTAATGATCAATGGCAGTCAAAAAACATCTGTCTAGTTAGTTAAATTCAGTTCCACAAATATGATTTGAGCACCTAGAGTCTAACAGGATGGTGTCCATAAACAAAAGGGATTGTATGTTCGTGTTACTTCAAAAGATAACACAGAACATCCATTTAAGTAACTATTAGGGTTGACGTATCATAAAAATAATTATTGTATAATGTACAAGCCTGTTTAGGCTCCAAAAGCAGCTTATTCCTAATCTGGTTATAGAGCAACACATTTTAATTTTCATAGCACTTTGATATTCTAAGAAAAAAATTGAATTGAAGCATTATTATTACAACTTTTATAAAAGATGAGTTCCGTGAATACATGAATTCTAAATAGCAATTTAGATTGTAAATTATTGGGTGTTTATCTAGGCAAGCTTATTTTAATCACATGATTTACTGGCATCATTTACCAACTTTTTTGATTTATTAAAGCTAAGGTTTCTGAATCTGTGTGTGTGTGTGTGTGTGTGTGTGTGTGTGTGTGTGTGTGTGTGTGTGCATGTAGTCTCTGGTATTTTTTTTCAGCCTGTAGTCTCCTCTTTATTGCTTTGTTTCTGAACACACTGTGTTTCTTCCAAACTCTGGCTTCCATTAAGCTTACGGAATTCAATTAGGCTTTTTAATATTGCCCTAATAAGACACTCTCTATAATCACTGTCTAGTTCTCTTTGGATCATTAGATACAGATTCAAAACCAGTAATGTTAAAATAACATTAATGTGCTCTTTAACTGTGCTTGCCTGCATGGTCTATGACTCTCTCTCTCTCTCTCTCTCTCTCTCTCTCTCTCTCTCTCTCTCTCTCTCTCTCACACACACACACACACACCCTCTCTTACACACACAGTGAGTGAGTGAGTGAGAGAGAGAGAATGATATTCTGTCTGTTTTGCATATGACAAAAGGCTCAAATGAATTAGAGTTATCAAACAGCAGAGCACATTAGAGCAGAAGAGAGATTAGAACTGAAGCTCATTTTCCCCTATCCAACCCCTGTAAACTCAGCAGAGTCCTCTGCGTTTAAATAGTATCACAGAGACTTTCTATGTACCCCAGAGTAAAAGAAGATCTTAATGCATTCTGAAGTGTTTGGTCTCCCTGCCATTATGGATTTGCATCATTTATCTGTGGAAATTTTTCATGGAGTGTGTTTAATAGAAACAAGATTGCTCTAACTTTGTTATGAGAAGCCATCTGGAAGTCTCAGTATATATTGTATAACTGGATAAACATTGGAAATAATTTGCAGTTTTAGAAGAACACTGGAGTGAAAAAAATTCAAAACCAAGAAACCAGAAAAACCCAGAGATCAGAAAATTACATCAAGAAAATACTAAGAATTTGTAGTTTTTCTGTTTTTAAAATGTAATTTTCTCCCACAGAAGTGAATGAGTTGCAGAATAGTTGGAAACTTCAATGGGGGAAACTTCTACGAATTTTCTGCAATTGCATGCCTATGGTTTATGCTTCCCCTCCAAAATCCATGTTTTAGAAACATGATTATATTCACAGTGAATATATAATTTCCATTCTGGTTTTCTTTTATTTACTGTAATAAGAAAATAGGCATTAAACTTTAAAGTAAGAACATTCAAAGGGAACAGTTAAATTTCAAATGTTGTTTTATTATGAGTCAACAATAAATCTTAGTCACAGAAAGAATGACAACGTTTTAAGTACAAAAGACTAAAGTGTAAGTTGTCAGATTAAAGTGAAAAGCATACAATAGAATTTACTATGGATTTTTTTTTGTTGTTTTATTTTACATTTCACCAGTTTTCCAGGGAAGTTTTTTCTTATGCAACTCCATCCTCAGGCTTTTTTTTCTAGTCAGCTTAAGATACCAATTAAGCTACTAGTTTTTTTTTTTTTTTTTTTTTTTTTTTTTGCAATTTCCATGTAGGATTCTGGTTGAAATACAAAAAGAGAGGAAAATACAACATCTGAAATTGATCTATTCATTTATTTTTGAGACATTGTTTCTTATCTCCTAGATTGGCTTCAAATTCCTCTAGGTAGCTGCAGATGACCTTGAAGTGCTGATCCTCTACTTCTTGTGTGCTGGAGTATCACAAGGCTCTGCGTGGTGCTGGGATTTCTTCTCAGGGCTCTGTGCATGCTAGGCTAGCACTAACCGAGCTACAACCTTATATTGCTGAAACTGATTTTGAGAGTTAAGCGGAAGGAGGACGTCTATAGATGAAACAACATGGCTGAGTGCTAACAATTTCTGAATTTGATACATACACTTTCTTGCTTTACTGATGTGTAAATTTGAAATTCTTTTTTATTCTTTTTTTATTTTATAATTTAATTTAATTCTACATATCAGCCACAGATTCCCTTGTTCTCTACCCCCCCACACCTTCCTCCCAGCCCACTCCCCATTTCCATCTCCTCGAGGGCAAAGACTCCCCCGAGGATTGAGTTCAACCTGGTAGACTCAGTCCAGGCAGGTCCAATCCCCTCCTCCCAGGCTGAGCCAAGTGTCCCTGTATAAGCCCCAGGTTTCAAACAGCCAACTCATGCACTGAGTACAGGACCCGGTCCCACTGCCTGGATGCCTCCCAAACAGATCAAGCTAATCAACTGTCTCATTTATCCAGAGGGCCTGATCCAGTTGGGGGTTCCTCAGCCATTGGTTCATAGTTCATGTGTTTCCATTCGTTTGGCTCTTTGTCCCTGTGCTTTATCCAACCTTGGTCTCAACAATTATTGCTCATACAAACCCTCCTCTTTCTAGCCAATTGGACGCCTGGAGCTCCACCTGGAGCCTGGCTGTGGATCTCTGCATCCGGTTCCCTCAGTCATTGGATGGGGTTTCTAGCACGACAATTATGGTGTTTGGCCATCCTATCACCAGAGTAAGTCAGTTCTGGTTGTCTCTCGACCATTGCCAGCAGTCAATTGTGGGGGTATCTTTGTGGATTTCTGTGGGCCTCTCTGGCACTTTGCTTTTTCCTATTCTCATGTGTTCTTCATTTATCATAAATTTGAAATTCTTTAATAAAGAAGGCAGTGGTACAACCAAAAAGAAGTTTGTTATCAAAGTCTTGAAATCTAGGCTTTACAGATAAATTCAACAACAACAACAACAACAACAACCACAACCTTTTCTGAATTGTGTACTTCCCCTAAACGTATCAAGAAGGAGACTGTTAAACTTAGATTAATGAGTTTCTTCTTAACTTTTAAATTTTACAGCTTTGTGGCTAGACCATGACACCAGCTATTCTCAAGGATTTGTTGGACTTGAAGAAAGAAGAAAGATTGAATCTGTGTAGTATATGCCCAGGAAACTTAAGGGGAGAGCTAGAAGGCACTTATTCTCAGTCTGGACCTTCCCCTCTAGGCTGAAGACTTGGAGGGGAGAAGTGAGTATCAGGCCAGTTGAATGCATGGTTACACAAGAACATATTTTAATATTACATCATTAAGACGTATTCGTATTTGGCAATCATTCCAATCAAACAAAATAGTTTATCAAAACTCTCCATCTGGTGAGTGCACATTTAGGGAGAAGAGATGGAGGTAGAGGGGCATTGTGTGTGTGTGTGTGTGTGTGTGTGTGTGTGTGTGTGTGTGTGTGTGTATGTATGTATGTGTAGAGGGGTGGGTTGGCACACACCTCATAGTTGTGTGTGGGGGTGTTAACAATTCTGAGGAGAGGTCTTGTTCTGGCATGGAGCAGAATGGGTGACATCAGGTGAATGGGCTGAGATATTTGCACTCCCAGTCATTCTTCTCCCGGAGAACCAGGAACAGATGATAAATATCAACCATGGCTCTTTACCAGTTGGAACTCAGGATCAGTGCATATGTAGAAGTAAGCTCTGGTGTTGTCCTCCCAATTTCCCCAAGACCATGAGAGCACATGAGTCCTCTCCTTTCACATTGCTTCAGGCCACACAGGGAGAGTTACTGTAGCTGGAGTGAGTGGAAGTAATTAAAGAAACTAAAACAAAACATAGATTGAGTTCCCCAATAGACTAGGAGAACAGAAAAATTAATTTCAAAAATTATTTTTTATCCCTTTCTTTACTACTCAGTAGGGAGAAGATGTGTGACTAGCTATGGGGAATAAAGAGACTATTTTAACTGTATATCTGAACGTAGTGAGAATACATTTTTAATAGTACTCCATTAATGTATGTATAGGGTAATTAGTACAAACAGAACAATTGGCTTACCAGATCAGCAAAAGATTCTGTAACTGGCACCTTTTGGGTTGTATCCTACCTCCCTGGAGACTACTGTTCACCTTACAAGACTCTTGTTTGCCCACCAACACCCTTTCTATGTTCTTTAATAAAAGGCCTCAAGTTTTTGCTGGGCACAGAGTCAATAATTGCATTTCCAAGCTTTCTTGGTATTACATTTCCCTATGAAATGACTTTTTAGACAGTGGTGTGAATAAAAATGACAATGAGTTCCTTCTCTGGGCTAATTCTTTAAAATAGAAAAGCCCTCCTATGAGTGAGTACATACCATGTTTGTCTTTCTGAATCTGGGTTACCTCACTCAGGATGATTTTTTCTAGATCCATCCATTTGCTTGCAAACCTCATGATGTCATTGTTTTTCTCTGCT